AGTATCAGCATATATAATTAGTCAGGGTGAGAATCCTATCAATTAACTGCTAGTTTCAAAAACCTGCTGATGTTTCTCAGTAACATTGCCTTAAAACATTTGTTGAACACTGTTTGAGGGCTTTGTTAAAAAGAGCTTTTATAATGGAAAGGGAACTGGGACTCAAATCACATACTTCTGCGGCCTCTTAGAAAAGGATTTTCAGAAACATACCAGATAAACATGAAAAACTCTTTAATTTGTTTTTGAGTTTTCTAGTGAACCAAAAAGAACCTCATGTAAATTGCTAAATGTGAGCTAAAGATGTAGCACAGTGCTAAAACACCTACTATGGAAAAAGAAAAATTTGTAGGTGGACTTTTCCTTTGACTTGTAGTTTTAGCCCAGAGTTTTTGGTCTTCCAGTTGGTGTGGCATGGCCTGAGTTCTGGAGTTCTGCCTTTGCAGTCATTTGCCCACATGCTAGAAGAGTGTCTCACCTTTCCCTTTAAGTTAGTTAAATGTGACATCTCTTTCTTGTGTTTAGGGTGAGGTGTTACATGGAAAAAGCTTAATGTTTTGTCTCTTGGGCATACTGATATGGAAAAATCAGTGCCATTGACATGTGAAAAACTACAGTGTGTGCTGCTTCTAAGAACCTTTATGTCTTGGTTTATAGTTTGATTTTTTTTTTTTTTTTTTTTTTTTTTTTTTTTTTTTTTTTTTGAGGGCTTGCTCTGCTGTGTGGAATGGGGCAGTTTGCAAAAGAAACTCACTGGCCATTAAAAGAAGTTAGGCTAACGTGACCTCAAAAGATCTCAGTAGATCTGAAATCCTGTATTTTAATTTTTATTTCAGCCTTCTGCCTCCCTGAATCCTAGATACTCTGCAAGTCCAGCTCAGGTACCACCACCTTTAAGAAGCATTCCTGGTATATGTTTTCTGCTTAGCACCCTTTAGGACTCAGTGCAGTTGCACTATGACACTTGTTGCAGTGTCAGGATAACTTTCCGTGCTCCCAACTGCAACAAGGAACTTCTAGAGCCTTTCTAGGCTTGAAGGCTCCTTTCTGGCTCAAGTGGCTCTATTTCTCTTCAGGTCCCCACAGCCCATCCTCCTCACCACTGTGCAGTGTGTATGCAGTTTGTGCGGAAGGAAAACTTACTCTCTCTGGCCTGTCAGCATCAGTTTTGCCGCAGCTGCTGGGAGCAGCACTGCTCAGTACTTGTCAAGGACGGCGTGGGTGTGGGTAAGTGCCCCAGAATTTATAAAAGGCTGACATGAGATATTTATCTTTTACTCTGACTTCTCATGTGCTCAATTCTAAGATTGACAGAGGTTTTTATTGTTAGAACTAGTGCTTTCCAAATCCCTCTGTTCACACAGTGTCAGGGTTATACCCCTGTCCTCAGCAACATGAGAAAATTAAAGCTATTGTGAGCTGGGCATGATAATATGCACTTGTAATTCCAACTACTCAGAAGGCTGAGACAGGAAGATGGCAAGTTCAAGGCCAGTCTGGGTGACATAGCATTTTTTCCTATCTCAAAAAAATATAAAAAAATTTTGAAAGGCTGGAGATAAAGCTCACTGATAGAGTACCCCTGAGTTTCTCAGTAATCCCCCCCAAACAAAAAAGCTGTTATAAATGGTAGCATGAATATAAGTTTATCTTTTCTCACCTTTTCCAGCTGCCCTTTTAATCAGTTCCCTATGTGGCAGCCATAACTCAGAAAACACCTGAGCTTGCTGCTATTCAGGCAGCATAACAAATCAAATTTGATGATCAGCTATAGAAGTATTTGTTAAATTATGACTTAATAATGTTAAAACTAATTATCATTACATTAATTGGTGTCTGCAAAATACCATTGTATTAATGATCACATACATATAATTTTAAATATCATAAAATTAAATTCTTAGTCAAGAAACCTACATAAGAGCCAAGGCATTATAGCACATGACTGTAATGCCAGCACTTAGGAGGCTGAGGCAGGAGGTTTGCTGCAAGTTCAAGGCCAGTTTGGGCTACATAGTGAGATCCTGTCTCAAATTCAAACAAACAACTATATAATGATATAGTTATTTAGTGGTGCTTTTGGTGTCATATATGTAGCTTGGAATAATAGCTTTATTGCATTACTATGAAAATGTTTGTGTTCTTGAATTTCTGTTGCTTTAAGAGTTTGTTATATGGAATCAGAATTTATTGGTAGAACTCCATGAGCAAGTATATATGTCTTCTGCAGTAAGGTCGTCCATCAGATTGTTTTTATTCAACAGGAGTCTCTTGTATGGCTCAGGACTGTCCACTCCGTACACCAGAGGACTTTGTGTTTCCGTTGCTTCCCAGTGAAGAATTGAAAGACAAATACAGGCGCTACCTCTTCAGGGACTATGTGGAGGTACGACTAGCTTCTGTTTTTCTGCCTTCTGCCTTCTGTCTTCCTGTACCTAGCTTTCATCAGATGGTCACCATAATTTACTTTATAGATCATACAGCCTTTTGATACTGCTCTTTGAAGAAAGAGCTCGATGGATGGATGGATGGATGGATGGATGGATGGATGGATGGATGGATTTATGTATTTAGTACAAGGTCTCACTACACAGATCAGACTCATAGTGATCCTCCTATTTTCAGCCTCCAAAGTGCTGGGATTACAGGCGTGCATCACTACACCCAGTCTGTCCATGGCTTTTAAGTTTAAAAAAACAAACAAACAAAAAACTAGCATGGTATTGAAGAACAAAAGCTATGAAATTGATTATAGTATGAATCTCAGATCTGTTACTTCCTTGCTGTGTGACTGTTGACTCATTAATTTATCTCTCTGGTGTCTTGGCTTCTTTTCCACAGAACAGACAGACATCCCTACTTTATACACAAATGCTTAAATAACATGTCAGGGGATGAACATAGGTCAGATATGTTTCAAGATTTGCTATTGCATTTGGTTTGCTGTGTAACTCTGAATGCGATAGTATTTCTTTTTAAGCATTTTTGAAAATATGTCCAGAATTTGCAGCATGGTCAGTTTTAGAATCTTTTCCCTCTGTTAGGCTATCTATCCAGTTTTGCTCATTCCATTTAGCAGTTTTCTTCTTGGTTGTAAATGCTTAAACTTACTGGATTGATTTATGGTCTTACACATGGGCTGCAGTATTAACAGAAGGTCTTTCTTTGTGCTCTTGTGTTTTTTGTTTGTTTTTAATTTTTGAGGCAAGATCTCTCTATGTAGTATAGACTGGCCTTGAACTTGCCAGTCTTATGTATCCCAGGCTGACCTCAAACTCATGGCAGTCCTCCTGCCTCAGCCTTCATAGTGCGAGGATTACAGTTGTGTGCTATCATACTCAGCCTTCTTGGCTGATTTTGATAGATTCCTGAGGATCATTGAGCCCCTCAGAGCTGCTAAACACATAGCTGAATGTTTCTAGCCTAAAGCCGTATGCACTTACTTTTTATTATTATTTATTTTGTGTGTGTGTGTGTGTGTGTGTGTGTGTGTGTGTGTGGCCAGCTCAGCCCACCAGGGGGCGGAGGCTGGCTGGCATGTGGTGCTGGAGGATTGAACCGTGGTCCCTGTGCTTTGCTTAGCTTAGCTTGAGTCTAAGTAGATGCTTTAGACCACTGAGCCATCTCACCAGCCCCTGCACTTACTTTTTTTCTTTTTCTCTTTATCCTCTTTTTCTCTTTGCTTTCTTTCTTGCTTCCTTTCTTTCTCCTTTCTAGCAGGAGTTGAACTCAGGGCCTGACTTTCAGTAGACAGGTGGAGCCAATGAGCTATATCTACTTTCATCTCACAGATAGTTTTTTAACACCTGGTCTTCACAACATTGGCCCTGAATTTATGTAGCCCCTTGCTCTAAGTCATGATCTAGAAGAATACAAGGAAGTTAGTCTTGGAAGGAGCAACTTGGGGATATCCTCATTGTTTTTCCTTGGTATTTTCACAGAGTCATTACCAGCTCCAGCTCTGCCCTGGTGCAGACTGCCCCATGGTTATTCGGGTACAGGAGCCTAGAGCTCGCCGAGTACAGTGCAATCGGTGCAACGAGGTCTTCTGGTAAGAGTGAGTGAGTGTTGAGCAGCTCTGGGCTTGTGTCTCATCTCTACAGCAGCAGAACTGGACTGGCCTGAGGGCAGGGGTGGAGTCTGAGGCATGTTAGCTGGTCTGCTCTGAGTAGACAGGTTTGTGTCCAGCATCTCAGGTTCCATGTGGTGTGTGATACGTGCTTAGTCTGGAAACCAAAAAGTGGCATGGGTTCTTGGAAAATGTGTTGTTTTATGCTGCTCATGGCCCAGAGATTATGTATGTGTCTGGGTGTCTGCCTACACAGATAATTTTCATATTGTATTTAAAAAGTGCAGTCTTCAATGTTTTATATTCTTCTTCTGTTTTGGCCTTTCTTTGATAATTTCTGTATGTATATGTACATATTTTTGTATTTATTTATTTAGATAGATTCTCACTATTTTTGTTTTTCTTTTTCTTTCTTTTCTTTCTTTTTTTTTTTCCTTCTTTTTTTAAATTTAGATAGGGTCTCGCTTTGTAGTCTATGCTGGCCTTGAACTCACTGTGTAGCCCAAGCTGGCCTCAAACTTGCAGCGATCTTTCTGCCTCAGCTTCCTGAGTGCTGGAATTATCAGCATGCGCCACCACACCAAAATGAGCACTTCTTGTCCAGGTAGCCTGCTCATAGTGTATTGGCAACACTGTCAATGATTTTTATCCCATGAATTCTTCACCCAAGTCATGACCTTTTGTAGGCTAGGCTTCACAAAGTTCCCACTAAAGTGTTTACTAAAGATGAGAATAACTACTACGAAATCAACAATATGCATTGTATTAATTACTGTAAACGTCCTACTAACCTGTTTTAAAACTGTTTCATTGCTGTTTTATCTTTTTTCTCATTAAAATGAATAAAAATTTAAAAGTTAAAAATTAAAAAGTCTTACAAGATAGGAGTGACAACAAAAAGGAACAGTTAAGAATGACGATCCACACAAAAGCAATGAAAAACTGCAGACGCCAAAATTTACAAAAGGTTTCTTTAATGAAACTTCATATTAGACACAGTCAGGTCCATTCATTATCAAGTGTATACATTATTTGTGCACTGTATTTGTACTCAAATTGGTCATTTAACAGTCTCAAGTTCATCTGTTTGTGTAGGGGTTTGATCCTTGTCCAGAAGTTCCCACTTGGGTATTTACAGATACCTAGTTATAACATGTATTGTCATTTATGCCAGCATTATTTCTTTTTTTTTTTGGTGGAACCGGGGATTGAACTCAGGCCCTTGCGCTTGCCAGGGAAGCGCTTATTCCACTGAGCCATCTCCCTGGCCCCTCCAGTATTATTTCTAACTATTAATATTCTTATAACTCAGTACATTTGTCATGTGTTGCAACAGATACTAAATGTATCCATCTGGATGATGATCTTCAGTGGGGTTTATTTTGGGGTAAGGCTTAACTCACAAGTACCAAAGTCATGCTAGGACTTATCTTCTAGTTAGGTCTTATTTTTGGAAAATACGGTATTCTTCATTCTTTATCCCATATTATGAACTTCTTTCCCTAAGACTTAGGTTTGCCTAGCTGCTTGAGGGCCTTTGCCATATGACCACAAAGTATTGGTAGCTTATTTGTTTTTCTCATTACCTACAGATTTCCCAAGTTCTGATATTTGTGTATCTTTATATACACATCTGGCTGGGAGGTGATTCCAAAAGTGAATCTCAGTCCTGCCTGTGTCTAAGTCAAAGGATTCTCTGAGTACATCTTCATTCCTACATGAAGCTGGGCTCAGTGTTGTAGTGCTGCTCAGTGGTAGAGTCCTTAGAGTGTGGAAAGTCCTGAATTCCATCGACTGCACTATAGGGAAAAAAAATAAAACCAAAAACCAGAGTCTTGTGTTTGACACTCTTTCAGGGTAGGAGTAAAACCATTTAACATCATTTAATAGGCCAAAGATACAGCTCAGTGGCATAAGTGCCTGCCTGACAGGTAAGGAACCATATCCTGAGTTCAATCCTCAGTACCATCCCCCTCCCGAATCATTTAACAACATTTTATTCAGACATGTTGAGACTGTCTTAGAGAGGCTCAGGTTAAAGAGACATGTATACAGTATTTCCATTTTATCTTAGGTGGTAAGTACAGATCTGAAAGGGCTTGAGATGTGACTTTGGCTCTTGGAAAAACTCTTGATAATCTGGCTTGGAGAGAGGAAAATTTTAAATGTGGATTCTGATATAATGAGTATTTGAATGTTTTTCTTTTCCAATTTTAAGTTTCAAGTGTCGTCAGATGTATCATGCCCCCACAGACTGCGCCACAATCCGGAAATGGCTCACGAAGTGTGCAGACGACTCTGAAACAGCCAACTACATTAGTGCTCACACTAAAGACGTAAGGACTGTATCTTACTGTCATGGATCTGCCCTCAGTAGTGCTGTCCAGAGCCCTGCCCTGGAAATTTGCTGTCTGAGAGCAGGACACACAGAATCATAGAACCTTTGCTAGCAGCTGTAAACACTCATCCAGACTTGACAGGATTTACGGCAATATATCATAGAATACATTGGGTGTACCTACTATAAAGGAGAACTACTTAGAAGGAAAACTAGTTTTTACTGAACACTTACCGGACTTTAATATCCTTGGGAAAGGGGGATGGTTACTAGCATATCTGATAAATAACAAGGCTGTAATAGCCCCGATCTACCTAGTTCTTATTTTGCAGCTTCCTGTGGGAAAGCATGGTCTGCAATCCTGGGGGCCAGTGGGCCCTCAAGGAATCTATACGCTTCACAAGCACAGCTCTGACCATGACATCGTTAAACGTTGCCTGCTTCATGGCAGTGGGAGTCTCACCATCAGGCCAGTCTTGAATTGCTGCTTAGGGTAGCTAGCCTCTCTCAAATGAAAGCGTGAGCTTTAGTGGTAGTTTTCATTGTACTCTTCTGAAAGCAGAAGTCCAGACAGGCTAGCCAAGACTTAATCCCTTGTGTTGGCTCTCAGGCTTCTTTGACAGCCTTTCCCAGCAGGCAGGCTTTCTGCTGATTCAGCCAGGGCTCAGCCTGAGTGGCTTCATAGCAGGAACAGATGGTGGAAGATGTACTGGAGCTCAGCTTGTACTTGAATTGTTTCAAAGCCAAACATGCTGACCTCATTTCCTTGAATTACTGTTCCAGCCTCAGCGACCTGCCACATTTAAGTGAGATGTTCCTCCCCAGATGTGCTTGAACTATGAGCTACTGGGCACTGGTGCCAGGAGCTTTATGTAATTTGTCTTAGAACCAGCCTGATGTTCGTGAGCCTAATGGCACCCTTCTGTCTCCTCAGTGTCCCAAGTGCAACATCTGCATTGAGAAGAATGGAGGCTGCAATCACATGGTGAGCAGAAGCCTGTACATTTTGCATGTGTGACATGGAGCCTTTGGTCAGCGTGCCTTTAATGTGTTCTCTTCTGTTTCCCTCTGACAGCAATGCTCCAAATGTAAACACGGTGAGTCCCAGGCCTGGTGCCTAAGGCCCAGTGGCATGGTCTGTGTATCTTGTGCTTGGGTCTTCATGGCTTGCTCAGTGAGTTATTTTGTAGTGAAATGACAAAGGTGAGCCTGAGTCACTTTACAGTTGCTATAGCTCACCTAAAGCAGCTCTTGATTTTATTTTGTGCTTTTTGATCCCTTTTATAATCTCACTCGTGACTATCTGCCTGACATACATAGATCAGAAGTCAAGTTTGGAGTGATTTCATGGTACTTGACCATCCAAGATTTTAGTGTGTCCTTTTTATGCTTTTTGTAAGTCCAGGTAAATAGGGACTTATCGGTGCTATTTTATTGATAGCTTATTTATAGCGATTATGCGTGGGTTTAGCAGAGGTTGTAAAATCATAGCTTTTCCATTAGAGGAATTTCTAGGGCAGCAAGTAATCCAGACTGGCCTTGAACTCATGATGTACCCAGGCCTACCTACGAGTCCAAGCTGTGTAGTGAGACCTTGTACTAACTACATAAAATAAAAGTAATCAAACAATAAAATGAATGACAACTGAGCATCACCATGTGCATGTAGTCCTAGATACTTAAGACATAAGGACTGTATCTTACTGTCATGAATCTGCCCTCATGAGAGGGGAGAGGCTGAGGAAAGACCATCTCTTGGCACAGAAGATCAAGGCCAGAGTGGGCAATATAGTGAGACCTGTCTCCAGGGGTAAAAGAGGCCAGGCATGGTGGTACATGCCCGTAATAACAGCTGCCTGGAAAGTTGAGCCAATAATTGTGAGTTTGAGTCTAGCCTGGGGAACTTATTGACTTAGCAAGACCCTATTTAAAGAAGGGCTGAGGATGAAGTTGAGTGTGAACGACCTGGGTTCAGTTTCAAGTACTCAAAAACAAAACAAATCAGAGAGAACCAGCACTATATTCCTTGTGCCTGAGAAGCTCCCCATGTAACCTTCCCCAATCACAATCTCATAGTTTTTTTGTTTTTGTTGGTTTTTGGGGAGGTTTGTTTTTTTTTTTTTTTTTTTTGTGGTACCAGGGATCGAATTCAGGACCTTATGTTGCCAGGCAGGCACTTGTTCCACTGAGCCATTTCCCCAGCCCCGTCTCCCTGTCTTTTGACACTCAGAGTTATCATCCCTTGCTGTTTATTTGAGCAAGTCTTAGCACTGTGTTGATTTGTAAAATAGGAGCAAGCAAGGTAGATGGGTGGTGAAGGCCTGCAGTCCCAACACTCTAGGAGGTTGAGGCAGGAGAATTGTGCAAATTCAAGTCTAGTTTGGGCAATTTAGACACAAGAATAAAAAATAGAGGGCTGATGTGCACCTCAGAAAACGGAAAGGAGCAAGTATAGTCTAGATGATTAGAAAAAGGGCATTCCTGGCAAGCGCAAGGGCCTGAGTTCAGTCTCCAGTTCCGCAAAACAAAAAAAGGAAAAGAAAAGTTTTGAAAAAGGACAATATTACCATTGTTAAGATGAATGCTTCTAGGAGAGGAGAAAGTGAGTGACACCTGGGTCTCTAGGTTTAGCTGTTTCCCTCAAACTTTTCAAGAGCCTCCTTTGGAAAATCGTTGTGCAAGTTTATAAGAATGAATCATGGGAAATACGGTTTACCAGTAGCAGGGTCTCTGGCAGAGACAGCGTATGGACAGCTTATGGTATTAGACAGCTAATAGGGTAGGGTCTGTCAGGTGCAGACTTCTGAGGGTTAGAGAGACCCTACCTCTGAAGGGTTGGGGGACTGGGCACTGTACAACACAGCTGTGCCTGCTTCTGTTTGTCTGCCTGTGTTGACTTGGCTGAAAAGGCAGCCCTCTACTGCATGTCCAGGGGATTTCTATGAGTTGTTAGGTGACCCTGCTGGAATAGGATCTATATCCTGCAACTGTGCCTGACCTCTTTCCAGTAGACTATATCCTGGTGTATATCATCCTCAGGGGATTTTTAGTTTTCGTCACTATGGAAGTGGTCATAATTCTGATAATAAATTATTAAATATATATAGTTTTTATAGAAATAAGTGCTTTTTCCTTTTGCTTGATTTGTTTGTTTCCTTGTTTGTGACAGGGCCTCACTATATAGATCAGGCTGGTCTTGAACTCATTAAATAAAATTCCTTCTAGAATAAGTTTGTGAGTATGGGAGGTATCCAGAGGTAATTTTATTTATTTATTTATTTATTTATTTATTTATTTATTGGTGGTATCCGGGGATTGAACTCACGACCTTGTGATTGCCAGGCAAGCACTTTTTCCACTGAGCTATCTGCCTGGTCCCAGAGGTAATTTTACAGATGATATATTATAAATGACTAAGTGGGGCTCACTTGGATAAGTTTTTTCTTGTCAAGGGATTCATAACACACCGTGACCTTAGAGCCAGGGAAATAGCTCAGTAGAATAAGCGCTTGCCTGGCAAGCAAGGGCCTGAGTTCAATCCCTGGTTCCACCAAAAAAAAAAAAAAAACCAGACCTGTGACCTTGTACAGTCAGCATCTGTGTTGAGTTTGTAAGGCAAGCACACAGTACAAGGAATGAGTATCTCTAGACCATTGCTAGCAAAAACAGGCTAAAGGGCTAGTGAGGAGTCACAGAGATGAACTTGCACATTTCCTCTGGAGGGAGAAGGAAAAAAACCTTGGGAGGTTCTATCTAGCTGACCCCTAAGAGCAGTAGGCTCTGTTTATCCCTCTGCTTTGTCTGTCTATGGTTGCTTCGTATGTATAAATGACTTACCCTCTGTTCTGTGCAGATTTTTGCTGGATGTGTCTAGGAGATTGGAAGACACATGGCAGTGAGTACTATGAGTGCAGTCGGTACAAGGAAAATCCTGATATTGTCAACCAGAGCCAGCAAGCCCAAGCCAGGGAAGCCCTCAAGAAGTACTTGTTCTATTTTGAAAGGGTAGGTGTTCTGCCTCCTTGCAGTGTAGTCTTCCTCCCACTGGCCTGCTGAGGTGAGATGACTGGGATAACTAGTAGCCAAAATCAGCTCATGCACATGAAAAACCCCATAGCTCCTGCAGCAACCCTGGGTGCTATCTATGTAGATTTGGTTTTTAGGCTACAGGGTAGTCACAGTTGATGGGAATGGGACTGGTGCTCATCTGGGTTGAGTGATAGATGGAAGAACAGACAAGGGCTGTCTTTTCTCCATCAGTTAAATCTGTGCCAGCGTATCTGTCATGGACTCTTAGTTGGATGTCTGTTCCTTTCCAGAATATGTACACTTTTATCTTTTCTTCTCTGCTTTGTAGTGGGAAAATCACAACAAAAGTTTGCAGCTAGAGGCCCAGACATACCAGCGAATTCATGAGAAGATTCAGGAGAGAGTCATGAACAATTTGGGGACTTGGATTGACTGGCAGTACTTGCAGAATGCTGCTAAGCTTTTGGCCAAGGTATTTGCCACTTTACCCTTTGTTCCCCAGTCCCAGTCTGGGCCCTGTCAAGTGCAGACCTCTGAGGGTGAGTGTGGCCTTTCCTCCAAAAGGTTGGCAGGCTTGGCACTGTACAACACAGCCATGGCTGCTTCTGTTTGTGTGTCCACATGCAACAGTGTTGGGCCTGCTGAGAACCCAGCTCTCTGCTAGATGCCCAGGAGATTTCTAAGACTTTTGTTGTTTCTGTCTTCTGGGAAATTATAGGTTTTTTCTTTTTCTCATCTCTGCATGACCCAAAGGAAAATATGAGATTATATTTTGAAAAGTATTAAGATAGATGTGTGGGGGCCTGGCCCTAGCTCAGTCCTTTAAGTGGCTGCTTCCACAAAGCTGTCAGCCTCAGGTTCCTGGAGTTCGAACCTCACAACTCTCCCGCTG